TTATATCCATTAGAATTCATTAATGTGCGTCTGCACAGCCCAAATGCTCCTTTTATTTATTTATTTCAGGTACTTATATAGCGCTGTCAATTTTACGCAGCACTTTACATATATATTGTACATTCACATCAGTCCCTAACCCTCAAGGGGCGTACAATCTAAGGTCCCTAACTCACATTCATACATACACATACTAGGGCCAATTTAGACAGGAGCCAATTCACCTACCAGTGTGTCTTTGGAGTGTGGGAGGAAACCCACGTAGGCACAGGGAGAACATGCAAACTCCAGGCAGGTGGTGCTATGGTGGGGATTCAAACCAGCAACCCTAGTACTGCCAGGCTGAAGTGCTAACCATTTAGCTACTGTGCTGCTTTTCAAAACTTGCACGTTGTTTTCTTTTTTCTGCCTCTAAACTCCTGTAAATGCCTGTGTTTGGACACAAAGGTCAACATGGAGGGCCATTTAGATGTAGAAAAAAAAAAATAGGCATTTTTTAGAATGAGTGTGCATGAGGCCTTAGGGCCCATTCACACCAGATGCAGCTGGATGCATTTTTGACTGCACTCCAACTTCATAGACAGTCCAAAATCCAGGTTATCCTGTGGGTATAGTTCACACAATTGCAGTGCAGTGAAAAAAAAAAAAAAAAAAAAGCAGCTGCATTTTTCTGCACTGCAAATACACAGAAAGGTAAGTAAATGCATGTAAATGCACTGAAATGCAGTGAAGTGTACATAAAAGCCCAAAGAAGATGGTGACCTCAAAGGAAATGTAAGCCTAGGAAAAATGCACGGCAAATGCACATAAAAACACACGTCACTGCATATGCAAAAACACACACTTTGTGTGAATGGGCCCTTAGACTAGCAGATGTAGATGGACTTGACTAACAAACTCAAGCTGAAATCCAACTCACACTTTATAAGCAGTAAGGCCCCTTTCACAAGAGGTGGACCTGTCAGCGGATCCACTTGTTTAGCGGGGGATCTCTCCGCTGATCCCCACTGAGCAAGCGGATGACGGATCCATGTCCGCTCCACTGCTGCCGAACAGACACAGCCCGCTGTCCTCTATGGGTGGTTGGATGGAAACAGACCGCCTGTCCATTTCCATCCGACTGCCATCCCATCCGATCAGATGGACAGAAGGGGAATGGATCCCCATCCATCTCTTTTGGGGGATCGAATTGGATGTTGGAGAGTGTAAATAGACATATCCGCTTACACCCGCGGCTCCATAGAGGAGAATAGAGGTTCTAATCAGGTCCGCCTGAAAAACGGGCAGGCAGACACGTGTGAAAGTGGCCTTATATCAAACAGTTGTGTTCCTTTTGCACCAAAGTTTTATATAAATTGTCCAGGACCAGAGGGGTAAACAGGCTCTAGTGGACAGTTCAGTAAACGTAAAGTCCACTTTATTTGTCAGCAAACAGAAAAAAACAGACTTTGTCTTTAGATTCAGCTCCAGCAAGCCAGGTAAAGCTTCCCTTCATTACAATATACCGTCCAATATGTACAAGTTCCAGGGTACTCAGCTACAGCACATACCAGGGGCGGACTGACAACTCATGGGGCCCCCGGGCAAGAGGGGATCATGGGGCCCCTGTGTCCTTGCCCAAACTCAAAAAAGCCTCAGAAAAAGGTACCAGGGGCATCTCATGGGGCCCCCTACTGACCCCGGGCCCTCGGGCAGTGCCCGAGTTTCCAAATGGTCAGTCCACCCCTGGCACATACAGTATTCAAAGTCCCATTTAGAGGCAGGCTCACCAAGCAGGTAAATCTCAGACAGACAATCGAGTACAGGCCTTCAAAACTGCTTCCAGTTGGCCAGATCAGTACACCATATGGACTTGGCATTCCTCCTCCACCAGCTATAAGCTGGTGGGCACTTCAGACTCTGCTGAACAAACCAACAGTGGCTGCAGGAGATCAGCAGCAGGGAAAAGCAACAAGCAGGGATGTTGAATTTGTATCGCCTGATGCCCGGAACATGTAGTTTCGGGCGTCGAGCAGGCAGCTTTTTTCAACCTTTAGCCGGGCAAGCAGCAGGGTTCATCTCCCTTGTCTCCTCCTCCCATGCTCATCTCCAGGACTTCTCCAGAGCTTCCCCCATCCTCTGGAACTCTCTACCACAATTTATCAGACTATCGCCTACTCTGCTCACTTTTAGGCGATCTCTGAAAACCTATCTCTTCAGGGAAGCCTATACTGCCTTCAGCTAATAATGGAATCTTCTACTCCTCCTACCAGTTCATCCCCCACAGTTACTAACTTTTGTACCACTAGCCCCTCCCTCCTAGATTGTAAGCTCCAAGGAACAGGGCCCTCCTAACCCTCTTGTATTGAACTGTATTGTTGCTGTATTGTCTCCTGTTATATTGTAAAGCGCTGAGCAAACTGTTGGCACTATATAAATCCTGTATAATAATCTGTCAGGTGAAAGTATTCGGACGACAGCACTACAACCCCCCAATCTCCCCGCTTCCTAAGTCTCTCGGGCTCTGCTTGCCCATCTGCAGGCCCGGGTCTGGCTCAGTGTGCAGTGGCGGCTAGAGGGGAGGGAGGAGAGCGAATACGTCCGCTCTCCTCCCCTTCTTGTCCTGACCCGAAAGTGACGTTATGACTTCCGGGTCCCCGTTAACAGATTTCCCGGCCATCTAGGCCGGAAAGAATGTAATGCAGTGTGATGTACACTGCATTACATTCAGGGGAGCACAGGGGAGACATCCAGGCTTTTTTTAGACCCTGGATGTCTCATTAAAGAGAACCTGTCACCAACAAATCATCACGTAGGGGACTTTCTTTGTCCCCTATGTGATGAAAAAAAAAATTAAGTAAAAAAAAAATTTTTTTTTTTAATAGTAAAAAAATCAAAGTTGCACATAATATCCCCTCAAAAAAAAAAAAGTGAGGCCCCCAACCCCCACATATAGGCACGTACAAACGTAAATGACCGTGCCGGGGGGGGCGCCTAAAAATGATAATGTTTATTGTGATACACATGTTACATATTGCCACGCACGCCAGAATAAGCAATAATTCTAGCACCTGCTAAGACCTCTTTCTTCCATAACACTATACTAATGACCTATAAGGGGCTTTAAGACCATCGCCTATAGAAAATATAAAGTACTTAAATTTGTCACCATTTCACGTGTGCACGCAAATTTAGGGTTTGACATGTTGGATATCCATTTACTCAGTGCATCCTCATCTTTTATATTGTACCAAAAAATAGGGTATTTTATTGCTTTTTTGCACCCTAAAATTAATTTAAGGGTGTTTTTACTGAAATCTTGCAGTTCCTAGACCTTTGCGTAATATCGTGTGACATAACAGATTGGAACTACCACTATTTTATTCTCTAGGGTCTTTTTCCTTCAGAAAATATATCATGTTTGGGAGTTTTGTGTAATCTTTAAGCCCAAAATGATTTTTTAAACATGTGCAAAAAATGCAAAAATGGCTCTGGCAGCGAAAGGGATAAAGGATAACCCTGACACTCCCCCTTTCCTGACAAGCATCCAATCGGTGCTCATCACACCGCAAGGTCTCTCTCCCCCTGTAGTCCCCGGGTGCGGTGCTGGAGACAGGCAGGGAGGGGAGGAGGAGATAAAACGGCACAATGTTAAAAAAATTAAACGTTCAAGTCGCCCCTTTTGTTTTAAAAGTCCCAGACATTCCTAATAACACCTCAGATTTAAATATGGCTATGGTTAAAATGTATTTATTTATTTTTTTATCTGGACAAGTAGATTGGGACCCAAACTTACTCCCCGGACAATCCGTTTTTTCAAAATGTCCACACCCCTGGAACAAGGTATGAAAAAAGATGAAAACCCAGAAAGATACTTTATGCAAAATCAAACATAATAAATACTTTGGTATGTGGTGTGTTAGCAGACTAAATGTTATTCAGTTAGGGTTTACTTTAGGTCTCTTGCACACCAGCGCACGTGTACTCAGATCTATACCAGCGCTTTCACAAGCATAGCTTAGGGGCATATGCAACATATAAAAAATGTTCTCATTTTTGCATACATTCATACGTTATACTCATGTTTCCTTGCGTATAGCCGCGCACAGCCATTTGTGTCTATGAGTGGCTGTTCACAGCACCTGGGCAGGAAAAATACACTGAAATGTATTTTCTTTGGGCTCAGGCGCTCACGTGCAAGAGGCCAGAATGTAAAATATCAGCCAAAATGGCTTTTCTAGTTGGGGCTGTATATGCCATAATACCACCTGTCAATCATAGGGGAGCAAGGTAAAAAGGGACAGCACCAAGTGACTCTGTCACTAAACAAAATAAACTTTACAAAATAACAACCTTTACCTTCCATCTGCCAGTAAATCAAGACTTCGCTCTCTCGCAGAGATACACCTTCAGCTGGAATGTTCAGCATCTGACATTTCTGGGCATGCTGGATGTCTATGGCTACCACTGTGAACTCTGGTTCCACCTGCAGGTCATTACACCAATACTCATCCCCACAGCTCCAGAGTCACAAAACGTTTGTCAAGGCGAAAATTATATATGAAACAGACCGCATGCTGCCTCCAATAGCCAATTCTAGCATTAACCACGTGCCCTCGAGAGGGTTTACCCCCCTTCCTGACCAGGCCATTTTTTGCGTTGTGGTGCTTTAACTGACAATTGTGCGGTCATGCAACGCTGCACCCATATGAAATGTACGTTCATTATTTTACCACAAATTGAGCTTTCTTTCAGTGGTATTTGATTGCCTGTGCATGTTTTATTTTTTGCACCATTAAAAAAAGAAAAGGCCAACAATTTTGAGGAAAAAAAAAAACTATATTTTTGACTTTTTGCTATTAAACATGTACAGTAAATGTTTTTAAAAAAATCTAATTTCGTCATAAACTTATGCCAAATACATGTAAATTAATTGGTTTATGTGAAAGTTATAGCGTTTACAATGGCGGTATCGATATTGTGATTTTTTATTTTTACTAGTAATGGCGGCGATCAGCAACTTATAGCGGGACTGCGGCGGACATTCTGACACTGATGTGAACTGACTTGGTGTCACTGACATCCCCAATGACACCAATACAGTGATCAGTGCTAAAAAAGCACTGACACTGTACTAATGGCACTGGGCAGGAAGGGGTTAACATGAGGGGCGATCAAAGGGTTAACTGTGTGCAGAGAGTGTTTTACTAGGGGGGCGGTGTCTGTGTGCTTCACTGTAATCACAATGCTCTGGATGGCTGTGCTGTGCACAGCCATCCAAAGCAGTGTGCCCGAGCTGACAGGGAGGAGAACTGTAAGTAAACAAAACAGTTCTCCCCAATGGATATCTTCAGAAATCACCTGGTGCAGGCGAGAAATTACCGGCTGGGACCCGGTGATTGATAGGCACAAATGGTGGAGCCGGTAGGATGCGTGCGCCCCCTACCTGTAAATGCAAAACCACATGTATATATACACGTGATTTTTTTTGCACCTGTGCCGCCCCGTAGCAGTATTTCTGCTATAGGGCGGTCGGGGGGGAAAGCGGCTAAAGGCCAAGTTAACCTCTAAATTCCAGCTCCCCTATGTACCAATATACCATCAATATACCTGTGTTGCAGACAAAAATAAAAGCTTTCTTTGATTTTTAGAACAAGGCCTTACCTTAGCCCCTTGTGTGTTCCATAGAAAAGTTCAGGACTTCCTGGTATGTAGATTGAGGGTTGGTCCACAGCACATGCAGTCCAGTGCAGTTTTTTCTCTGCAACAAAAATGCATGGACAGTAGGTTATATGATTTCCAATGGCATAGTTCACATCAGTGCGGTCAGTTCCAGTTCATAACAGTTCCAGAAAAAAAAAAGTGCTGCATTTTCTGCACTGAACTGTACTGGAACGTGATAAAAAGCATCAAAAAATGCACTGGAACACACCTAAACATACCAAAAATGCCCTGGAAAGCACATGTCCTTATTTAAGGGGAAGAAAAAAAAAGAGGGGGGAAAATGCATCAGAATACATCAAAACACACATGCAGAAACACATCTGGACTGAGCTTCTATGGTGTGAACTGGCCCTTAGGACATAAAAACCAGTAAGACCTCATTAGCACACACCCTGCACCCATCAACTATGTTTGCACGTCATCCCTCCAGGCGTGTATGTGCCTGGCTTGTCAATGTAGGCTGCCACAGCTGCTATGTTTGCACATCATCCTCAGTGTCCCTACAGACAGGCCTGGGCCGCATGCTAAACTCTCTGGAGCCATGGGTTGGACACCCCTGATGCAGTGCAAGAGCCTGCCTGATTGGATACAAAGTGAATGGATAGATAGATGGGTCCTCATATTCCATAGTTTTAATAAATCTAAAGGACATTGTACAGAGATTGTACAATCAGATTGTATAGTGTATGGCCACCTTTGTTCACCTAAAATAAATTTGTCTTGCTTTCATTAATTGTTCATAGTACCCCAAACGCAGAAAACAAACACATTTTGTGTCAAATACAGCAAAACGCCACACTAACTACTTTGCTGGATGTAGGGCAGCCCATTGAAATCATTGCATGCTGCAGGAGAGCCAAAAAACGTACAGTCTCACTACGTTAGGTGTGAATGAAGCATGAAAGTGAAATTAGTTTGTTTACACAAGAACAATGAGGATCCATTCACATCTGTGTGTTTCTGAACAAAAAAATTAGCGGTTTGCTGTGCATTTCCAAAATGTGCTGCAAATGCACAATGCGCTTGTGTTACCATTAACCACTGCAAGGAGGACACTTTCACCCCCTCCCAGTCCAGGCCAATTTTTTTCAGCACTATCACACTGTGAGTAACAATTACTCAGTCATGCAACACTGTACCCATGTGAAATTTTTATCATTTTTTGAGACAGGTAAAGCTTCCTTTTGGTGGTATTTCATCACCACTGTTTTTTTTTAGATATATAAGACTTTTTGCTTAGTTTTTGTTACAAAATTTAGCAAATAATTTTTCTTCATAAATGTAGGCCAAAATATATGTTGCTAAATTATGGGGGTAAAAATAACCCAAAACAGTGTATATTATTTAATCTGTGTGAAAGTTATAGAATCTGCAAACTATGGGATATGTATTTGAAAATGTACCAGTTGAGACACTAACATGCCGGACACTGATATGATATATGGCAATGATCAGGACATTGGTATGAGGTATGGTGGTGATCAGCACGTTAGCATGAAGTATGGCGATCAGGATGTTATCATGATGTATGGCGGTGATCAGGACGCTGCTATGGCGGTGACCAGATGCTGGCATGGGGTATGGTGGTGATCAGGATTGATGGGGTATGGCGGTGATCAGGATGTTGGCATAGGGTATGGCGTGATCAGGACATTTACTTGAGGTATGGCGGTGATCAGAACGCTGGTATGGCGGTGATTAGGACGCTGGTATGGGTACATGATGGTAATCAGTACGCTGCTATGGCGGTCATCAGGATGCTGGCATGGGGTGTGGCGGTGATCAGGACGGCATGGGGGTTTTGACTTGAGGTATGGCGGTCATCAGGACGCTGGTATGGCGGTGATTTGGACGCTGGTATGGGACATGGCGGTGATCAGGCCGCTGGTATGGGTTATGACAGTAATTAGGGCGCTGGTATGGCAGTGATCAAGGAGCTGACATGGGGTATGGCGGTGATCAGACGCAGGCATGGGGTATGGTGGTGATCAGATGCTGGTATGGGGTATGGCGGTGATCAGGATGCTGGTATGGCGGTGATCAGGACACTAGCATGGGGTATGGCGGTGATCATGACGTTTACTTGAGGTACTTGAGCATCACTGACGGGGGGGGGGGTCTGTATGTGAACAATACAGATCTCTCCCATGTCAGCACCAGCACACTGCTTTGTATTGCTCTGCATAGCAATGCAAAGCAGCATGCTTACACAGTAAAACACACACAGCACACAGTTAACCCTTTGATCGCCCCAGATGTTCACCCCTTCCTGCCCAGTGTCATTAGTACAGTGTCAGTGGTTTTTATTAGCACTGATCACTGTATTAGTGTCACTGGGAATGTCAATGACAGTCAGTCAGTCCCCCCCCCAGTCCCGCTATAAATCGCTGATTGCTGCCATTATTGGTATAAAAAAAAAAATTCCAGTATATATACCGCTATTTGTAGATGTAAATATAGGCATGTCTACTGATGCCAGAAATTCTCTTTATCTGACAAAAGCAATAACAGATCTCGGTGATTAAATCTTACATTTTAGTATACAAAGAAATCTGTTCTGAGATGTTAAGTTGAACATTGGGCAGATGCCCTGATTTGGTTTTGGAACTGTGAATAGGTTTGGAAAGAATACTTGAAACGCTTTAACTTTCACGTAAACCAATTAATTTACACATATTGGGATTTTTTTTTTTTTAGCAAAGACATGTCGCAGAATACATTTTGGCCTAAATATATGATTACATTTTTTTATTGGAAATATTTTATAGTAAAAAGTGAAAAATAATGTTTTTTTTTTCAAAATTGTTGGTCTTTTTTTGTTTATAGCGCAAAAAATAAAAAACGCACAGGCGATCAAATACCACCGAAAGAAAGCTCCGTTTGTGGGAAAAAAGGACAGAAATTTAATTTGGGGGATAAAGTTAAAGTAACGCAGCACCGTATCGCAAAAAATGGCCCCTGGTCAGAAAGGGGGGTAAATCCTCTGGAGGGCAAGTGGTTAATATCACACAACAAGAGTAGAGTGTATTTTTATTGTGTGGTATTAAAGTCTACCTAATACTGCACTGAGTGGCACCTCCTTCCTCTCTTTCTATTCCACTGCACAGACCTGGCTTACTCTGCAGGATGGCAGTCGCTATATGACCCTCAAGCACACTAAGGACTTATATACCTATACACAGATATACCGTATATATTTATATACTTTATAGGGATTATTTGTGCTATTGCCTATGTATACATGCCCACTCAAACTTTTTGCGCCAGAATTTTATCGTACTAGGATGTGAAAACCAGTAATACACAGGAAGTAGTTCACCAGCTGACCTCATTAGCACACACCCTGCACCCATCAACTATGTTTCCACAGCATCCCTCCATGCATTTGCCTGGCTTGTCGATGTAGGCTGCCGCAGCCACTGTGTTTACATGGCATCCCTCCAGACAGGCCCAGACCGCATGCTAAACTCTCTGGGGCCGCAGGTTGGACACCCCTGATGCAGTGCAAGGGCCTGACTGATTGAATACAGACTGAATGGATACATAGGTGTGTCCTTCTAGTCTATAGTTTTGGTAGATCTAAAGGAAATTGTACAAAGATTGTACAATCAGATTGTATAGTGTATGGCCACCCTTTATATATGTACATAGGAGGGAATGGACGGAGACACTCAGCTGTCAAGCCCTATTCACATTTCTGTAGGTGTTTTTTTTTGGGGTGGGGTTTTGCTCATCATGCACAGGTTAGCCAATTCGTGATCACTCCATATGCCATACTAGCACCCTGATTACCCCGCCCCAGGGCCTTGATCACCCCCATACCAGCGCCCTGATTACCGTCATACCCCGCCCCAGGGCATTGATCACCCCCATACCAGTGCCCTGATTACCGTTATACCCCATACCAGCACCCTGATTACTGTCATACCCCATGCCAGCTCCCATGATTACCATCATACCCCATACCAGCGCCCTGATTACCGTCATAACCCCATGCCCCAGGGCATTGATCACCCCCATACCAGCGCCCTGATTACCGTCATAAAAACCCCATGCCAGCGCCCTGATACCGTCATACCCCATGCCAGCTCCCTATTACTGCCACACTGCCATGCCCCATACCAACTTCCTAATCACCACCATATCTCAAGTATCAACTGGAAAATTCCTCCTGCACTTAAAGGAAGTGGTACCTAAATACTGAAGCAGCCAACACTCTAAACCGATACCTTAACAGTGATGTAATCAAATAATAAATTAGTGCAGCGCTAAAAGAACATTAAATCAATAATAATATAATAAAAAAACTATGCAATTGCAATATACCACACGATGATTTGTGATAAGATCAAAGATCTATATGGTGTACATATAAACTAAAGTGCTCAAAAAGTGCATAATGAGCTCATTTCCACGGCCTCTATAAAGTGCAATCAATGACACACAAATGATTAAGTGTAAACAAAAACCCCTTTACACCTCCTACTTAATGTACGTTTATCATGAATCCCCTGCAATTGGGAAATAACACACAAAGTGACTTGTGAAAAATAAATATCATACAGTGACCAAACTAATAGAATACAAAATGCAATCATATATTAAAATAGTAGAAAAATATAAATGTAACAGATAAAGTCTCTAATAGTCCATATATCTTCCAATCA